CCAGCTCAGCTGAACTTTTGACAAACATGATCTGCATGCAGCCCTCAGGGGCGAAATGGACAGCAACATCGGTAACTTTGTTTTCAAGCATAGACTTTAATCCTCCTCGTTTTTGGAATCTTAGGGAATATCCTGGCCTGTCATAGAGGCCCCAAGTACCAGCAGGTACTGGAGAAAAGTTCAGTTTGTCTTTCAGTTATTCAAAATACTATCCTAAATTTGCCTTTCCCAATCAAAGACAAGAATGGTATGGGATTTTAAATAGTGGGTATCAGCCCTGGGTGCACATTAGAATCACCTGGGGGACTGATTAAAAAAATAAAACACTGAAGCCAAGTCTTTCCCTAGAGTATTTGATGTTAATTTCACTAACTTAAAGAAACAACATAATTCTGTTCTAGAACATCCCAGATCTCCCACTTTCTAACCAAACCACATTGGGTGATTCATATCACTTTCCTGAGCCTCAGTTTCCTCATCTGTCATATGGGGGCAATAACACTTGCCTCCAAGGGGGTGGTTAAGTTAAAAAAGTTGTCTGGAAGCACCTGACACATAGTATGTGCATACTTAGATATTGTCTCAATCAGAACAAGAGCTTTCAGAAGAGGGATTTCCTCTGGGCCCAAAGGCCTGGAAGACTATTTGAAAGAGTTAGATTTGCCTCCTTAAGAAGGAATGTTGACATTTGTGTGGGTAGAGAGACAAAGGGGCCACTCTAAGACATAAGCAATGAGAACACCTGCTCTGGGCCCCATACTTTACAGGACTTTGCTCTGGCCTTCCTCTGTCAGCACCTTGTCCCACAGGGCAAGGAGGCTATAGGAAACAAGTGCCATGCACCCCAGGAGCCCACGTCCCCATCTTCTAGATCGTGGATCAGACACCAGAACCCAGCCTGGTCAGCCTGGACCTGCTTCTATTGTATTCCCCAAGCCAGTTCTCCTGGGAGATAACACTTCCAGTTTGCAACTCTAGTCCCACAGAGTGCCTTAAAGAAGGCTATTTAAAGGGCATGGGGACAGACCTTGGATTTGAAGGCTGGGATACTACAGATGTGTGCATGAGGCCTTTCCAGGCATGCAGGAGATGAGGGGTGGAAAGAGGAAGGGCAGGCCATGGGCCAGGCAGGGGCTTTCATACATTCTCTTTCTCCAGACCACACAAATATTAGAAATAGCTCCAACAGCACTGTTCATTTTACAGCAATTCATTAAGCTGAACATTTACATTTCAGTATTTTTCTGGTACATTTGTTCTCATTATGAGATGTAAAATAATATTTTTAAAATCAAATAATGCTTAGCTCCATGCCTGAGACCTCATAAGTGCTTGAAAAATACGAGTGAAGCAGAATCCAAACATACTCACTGCAGCTCAGATGTGCATCTTGCTTTGTAGTAGGATTGCAGCTCGGGATGAAACTGCCAATTTAAAGGAAGTTGGTTTCTTCCAGTTTAAAACAGTCTCTTTTGGATAAAGGTCCATTCTCACAGGTCTTCACCCTCTCTATTCTTCCTCCCTTTATCCCAGAAGGCATCTGGGCAGGGGGAGGCTGACAGACATCATGGTGATGGTGAGGGTAGGTGAGATTGGATCTGTGTGTTCTCCGCTCCCCCGCACCAGCTTGTGCTGACTTACTTTGGCGCAGAGATCATCACTCTTGATCTTCAAGTATCAGCCTTTTACCTTCATGCACCTGCTGCAGAGGTGACTGCGGGAGGCCATGCACTAAATGCTTGGGCCAGGCTCTGCTGTGGCTCTTGCTAGGCAGTTGATTCTCTGAAACTCAGCAACAACTTCTATCCAGCTTTCAGCTTGAATATCGGGCCCAACTGAAATCCTACTAAGTTTGCCACCCCCGATTTCAGTGCAACCTTTGGCTTTTATGCTAATTCCTAATTCTCAGCTAACTTGTCATCTTATATTGCCGATAAGAGGAAACCTGGGAGGGAGGAACAACATGCAGAGCTCTGTGCAGGTATTTCGCATTGCACGTGGGTTTCCTCAGTCAGTCTTCACAAGCCAGTAAGAGAGGCATTTTAGCTGAAGGTTCCTGTCCCTCCCTAGTGTTATAGGCTGAGCTGTGTTCCTCTAAATTCAAGTGTTGAAGCCTTAACCCTCAATGTGACTGTATTTGGGGCCTTTAAGAGGTAATTAAGGTTAAATGAGGTCATTAAGGTGGGGCCCTAATTTGATAGAACTGGTGTCCTTATAAGAAAAGGAAGAAGGGCACCTGGGTGGCTCAGTCGGTTAAGAGTCCGACTTTGGCTCAGGTCATGATCTCATGGTTTGTGGGTTCAAGCCCCGTGTCAGGCTGTATGCTGCAGCTCAGAACCTGCTTCAGATTCTTTCTTTCTCTCTCTCTCTCTGCCCCTCCCCTACTTGCATTCTGTCTCTGTCTCTCTCAAAAATAAATAAAACATTAAAAATTGAAAAAAAAAGAGGAAGAGACACCAAAGATAGCTTTCCCTATCCCCTTCTCCTCTCCCCTTCTGTCCCCCAACATGCACACAGAGAAAGGCCATGTAAGGACACAGGGAGATGGCAGCCATCAACAAGTGAAGGGGAGAGGGTCACTGGAAACCTACTCTGCTGGCACCCTGCCCTTGGACTTCCAGCCACCAGACACGTGAGAAAATTAGGCATCCAGACTGTGGTATTTTGCAATGATGGCCCAAGCAGTCTAAGACACCTAGAAATCACAGTTTAATACCTTCTGGGAACTCAAACATTCTTGGCCCTGAGCATCTCAGGTGACCCTGAGCATTCACTGCTGCCTATTTCCTGAGCCTCACTGCCCCCTGGAGTTACAGTCCCATACTTTTCCCTGCCTTTATTCTCCAAATCAGGTTCCAGCTTCCTTCCTATTTTCCCTTAGTTCTAATTCCCATATTTCTCTTGGTACTTACCATGTTGTTCCATTGGCCCAGGAACGCATCTGCAACTCAGAGACAATCTTTAGGAGGCTGTTTTCATGCCATTTCTCCATTGATAGTCTCATCTCAAGCAGGTTCAGACATGGACTATAAATTGTCCCTGTGTATGCATGTGAGGGTTCTCCTGCCAAGGAAAGAGGCTGAGTTTTCCTTGTTCTGTCTCCCACCCTGGGGAACAGACACCCTGTAAAGAAGAACCAAGTGTATCTTCTTGAGGCTGAGCTCACTTTGACAGAGGCTGGATCCTGTAATGCTCTGGAAGTTTCTTGCAAGTCTATCCCCAGCCTCAGGGGTTCATCCCAGCATCAAATTGATAAGCCTAGGACTGAAAAGAGGGCTTTTCAAAGCAAAAGAGCCAGCATAGATTTCCATGGAAGGGCTACAGATTTCTGAGTCAGATTCCTGTGTATTTGATTTATGGCTGAAAGCCCTATGGGAAGAACTTAAGCAAGTCATGTCATCTCTCTGAACTGTAGTTTTCTCACTAAATGGGAAAAACAATCCTTGCCTTTCAGGATTGTAATGAAGATTTCACACTCTTTTTTGGAAATGACTAGTTGGGTTTTTGTAGACATTTATTCCATTCACCCTATTTCACCTGAGTCACTCTGGCCAACAAATCTGAACTGTAGCTCTTGGCCTGCAGTATAGCTTTGGTGTGCATGTGGTGGGGGAATGAAGGGAGGCGAGGAAGGATGGATGGATGCCTTTTTAAAAATCTAATTTATCTCATTTTGTTCAGGAAATATCCTCTCAGAAAATGCAGACTAACTTCAGTCTCTGCCCCAGCACATCTTTAGGAAGGCAGAACCATTCTCCTAATAATGCATTCCTGAGTAATAATTCCCAGACTCAATATCAATGACCTTGGCAATTGGCAATGGGGATTTTCTTTAATGTATGAGTAAATGAATAAATAAGATGTCTTTTAAAGGACTGGTTTTGGAACATTCCCAGCCCTCCTGGGATTGCTTATTCTCCCACTCCCTTTGGGCTAGTTTAGAGAGCCAGAATTGAATGTAATGAGTCCAGCAACTCAAGATCTGTAGGAAATGGCTTTCAGAGACAGGTACTTTCTGAAGTCCTTTATATGGTTGTTTCTCAGACACTTGGTGATACCACTTTGGGCATATTATGCCTTGCAGTAGGAACACTCTGTGAAGTAGATCCATCTCCTACCTCCCTGCCCTGTTTTGCTCTTTTGAAATCTAAAGGTAACACAGGGAAGTGGAAGAAAGAACACAATGAAACCACAGAACTCCGTTCTGTGTGTGTCCACATGTTGGGACTTGCGATCTGTCCAGTGTGGGCCATGCAGAGGAGAGTTAAGATCCCACTGGCATAGAGGAAATAGCAGTGAATTTAGAGCCCAAAAATTGGGATTTAGATTCTATCTCCTAACTAGTTATACAAACTTGGGCAACTAATGTACCTTCAGAAGCCCTGTTGTTTTCCATGCAAAAGGAAAATGTTTAACAAAGCCATCTCAGAGCTGGTATGATGAGTTAATGAACTAGGGAATGCAAATGGTCTTAGTTGAGGAGTAAAGTACTAAATATATATTGTACTGGAACTCTGGCTTCGAGTCAGACAAATTAGGTGTGTTACACTATACTATTTTCCATCAATATCCAGTGCCACACCCTGGAGTAAGGCTTGATTGTGTAATTTTGCCAATGTAAACCGAAGTGCCCCCTCAATTCCAATGAGGACTTTACAGGCTTAATAGCAATTCCCCAGCTCTCTACTCCCTGCCCCTGTGATGAGAAAGCATGTGTGAAGAGAAGCTGAGGGGCCTGCAGGGCCCTAGGTGATTAGAGTAAGCACAGCTCCCATGCTCTCCCTTGATGGGTTCCTATCAAGAGCTACTTTAGCTTTTTGGGGATTTGGGGATTGATTGTTACTGCAGCAAAACCGTCTGGCTTCCTGATACACCTGGGTACTGTTTCTTTAGACCATTTAATAGAAGAAAGAAAAACAACACACAAAGAAAACACATATATGGTTATACTGAACACGGCACAGTCTTGGGGAGATCTCAAGGACAGCCCTTGCTGAGTGCTACTTGCTGCTGCCCTTGGGAAGGGGCCGGTAGACCCCGACGACTACAGCGTGGTCCCTCTCATAGGGCTCCAGGGTCAGTTGCTCTTGAGGCTTTAAGTTCTCCTGCTGCAACTTCCTCACCTCTGAAGCAAACACCGCCTCAGCAGATGCAGTGGAGTCGATGCAATTGGCCTTAATGGAAATAAGGAAGTGGCCCCCGTTGCGCAGGAAGGTGTGGGCATTCAGAGCCACTATGCGGGACTGGTCAGGCTGGGCCACATCGGCAAAGATCACATCCACCATTCCTATGAGCATGCGGTACTTGAGTGGATGCCGGGCATCTTCGAGAACTGGGATGATGTTGGTTCGCTGCTTGGCCACATTAACCAGATCGCGGCCAGCGCGGTGGGAGAACTCAACCGCATACACAAGGCCATCGGGGCCGATGATGTCAGAGACGTGAGACACCGTGGTCCCCGAGGCAGCACCCAGGTACAGCACTTTGGACTTGGGCTTGATGTGGATCTGGTCGACCCCGCCCAGGATTGCGGCTGCCAGTTTGGAGCGGAAGGGGTTCCATGTGCGGTATTCCTGCTTCACGCCGCCCTCAGTCACTGTGATGCGCCGTTCGCCGTACACCGAGTGGCCCGGCACCATATTCAGCGTTACCAGCGCGTCCTCCGCTCCGCGGTAGATGAAGACACCCTCATGCCTGTGTGGCTCCACCGTCACGGCATTGGCGCCCTTCCGCCGGCGGTTTTTGCTCCTGGCCACGCCGCCACGCCGCTGCCCGCTGCCACCACGGTCCCTGCTGTCCCCGCCTCCGCGACCCCGCCCCCGGCCTCCGCCCCCGAAGCCACGCGACCGCGCCCCGAAGCCGCCTTTGCCTCCGGGGCCGCCATCCCCTCCTCCTCCTTTGCCTCCTCCGCCTCGACCCCCGCCCCAGCCACCACCCCAGCCGCCACCACCACGCCCACCGGACCCACCGCCGCGGGAACTTGAGGCAGACTTCATCATGGTGCGCCCCGGGCCCCCGGGTGGCTAGCAGGGATTGTAAGGTGTCGCAGATAACTGGCGGTGGTTGTTAGGGGTTACCAGTGGCTTGGAGCCGTTGTCAGGGGTCACCGGTGGTTCTGGATGGTGGTCCTGGCGTGGGACAAAGATTGCTAGCAGCGGTTGGTGGCTAGGTAGGCTAGCCACAGTGGGAGGCCGGGGCAAGGTGTGCGGCAGTCGGGAACAGCTCTACCGCAGTCCCCCCATCCTTGGAGCCGCCCTTTGACGCAGGGGCTGGCGTGATTGCATCACACCCGCTTTGGCGACCCTGCAGCCCCGGAAGCCCCCCTTCCTAACCCTCTTGCAGCTGCAGCCTGCTGCCTTATAAATCTTCCCCTTCGTCCTTGCTCGTCTCCTGCTCTTTCAGACACCCTTTGCACTTCTCCTGGGGTGCAGGGAAGGAAGCGTCTCCGCTGAGAGAGATGAAGAAGACAGCATCGGCTTTAGTTCTTGCTGTGCCACTTGCTGTGTGGTCTCAGGAAGCTTCCCTGACCCTCTCTGAGATTCTTGTTTCAACTTGACAAGTTTCTGGAACTGAGTTTCAACATCCCACCTGTAAAACAGAACCTATCTCAAAACTTTGGTTGATTGATTTTTAAGTAGGCTTCTCGCCCAACTTGGAGCCCAACGCTGGGCTTAATAAAACCCCGACTTGGGTGGTGAATTCGTGATCTCAAGTTCGGGACTTGAGATCAAGACCTGAGCTGAGATCAAAAGTTGGCCGCTTAACTGACTGAGCCACGCAGGCGCCCTCAAAAGTTTTTTTAAAGTGCTACATACACTTATCCCAGACATGGCACATGATAAGTACTCTGTTAGCCTTTCTTTCTTTTCTCTTTTCTTTTCTTTTCTTTCTTTCTAGTATTTCTTTTAGTCTTTTTATTGAGATATAGTTTACATACAATAAATGCACTAATTTTTTAAGTAAATGCCTTAGAGTTTTTGCCACCCTTGTAAAAATGGCTCTTGCACACTTATACAACGTTTATGAGAATGCAAATTGGTACACTTAAACAATATATCTATACTTTGACTTATTCTACTTTAAAAATTTTATCCTAAAGGGATGATCCCAGCAATTACCAATGATACTAATTAGAACTGCTAGAGTGAGGGTGGCAATGGCGGTTGTGATAATGATCATTGTTGTCAAAGAAGTTGCAGAGGTCAGATGAAGTAAACTAATCCAAGAGAAATATTTAGAAGATAGAAGTCATAGGACTTTCTGATGGAATGTATGTAGGTCAGAAAGGGGAAAATTCCAAGCCAGAGATTGTCTCCTCTTTAATGGTTAATAATCTACAAGCTGCAGCCCTGGTTTCTCTCTCTTTAACTCTGCTCTTTTCCATCAACTTCACTAAATCCCAGAACTCATTCTGGGATTATGGGGCAGCAAGAAATTGTTGTTTCTTCAGTGTGAATGGGGACACAAAAACCCAAGCCCTAAATCCTGTAACACACCTCAAGCAGGAAAAATCTCATGTTTACTCCTGAATTATAGTTTATTCTTCAAAAATCCACTCGTTCAGTCTGCATCATCATTTTGAGCATTAAAAACAAAACCAAAACACGGTGGGCATCACAAAGAGTAGAAAACAGGTGTAACGTGGAGGTCTGAACTTTCAGTCAGCACCACGGACAGCGACACCAACCGAGGACCGGCTTGGGACTTGTCCAAGAGCAGGATAAGGGTGGTGTGGGTAGGTGAAATAAGAAACCCGTGGACCTCCCTGTTAGTGGAATTAAGTGCCTGCTCCAGAGAAAGACAAAATGTACCTGAAGATCGGGGCAAATGTCAGGCAGGGTGTACTGAATGTGCACATGCCAAATAAAGCTTTTATTTCATCCTGGACTCTTTATCTTTCAAATTCATGGACAGCGACACCAGGTCTGGTTTTCTCAGAGCGCTAGAGTGCCTCCTTAATAGGGGCCATAAGTTTATGTGTTGGAATGTGGACAAGCAGTCAAAGAGTGCAATGTACAGTTCCTGAGGTGGATGATTGTTACAAAACATTCTCCTTAGAGGCTTCGCTATCATTATAAATTGAGGAGTGTTCTCCAAAATGATGAGCTATGCTTGCTGCCTTGGTAAGATTTCCCCCAAATCAGACCTTATAATGGTTTATTTTATGGATAAATTTGACTGGACCATGGAATGCCCAGATGTTTGGTCAAACTTATTCTGGTGTTTCTGTGAGGGTGTTTGGGGATGAAATTAACATTTAAACCAGTAGCCTAACTACATAGAACAGTGTGCCCTTCATAATGTGAATGGGACTCATTCAATCCATTAGAGGCCCAAATAGAACAAAAGGCTCACCCTTCCCAGAGTAAGAGAGAATTCTCTTGCCTGACAGCCTTTGAACTGGCACATTGACTCTTCCTGGTTTTATAGCAGCCTGTCTGCCTTCAGATTTGAACTCCCACATTAGCTCTGCAGATTTTGAATGTGTCAGTCTCTCTAATTGTGTGAACCACTTCTTTGTAACATCTATATATAGATGTAGATGTGGATATAGATCTAGGTACAGATATAGATCAATCTATCTATACTGTTGGTTCTATTTCTCTAGAGGACAGACCCTGAGGCAAGAACATGGATCCAGGTTTTTTTTTTTTTTTTTTCAGGTGGTTTTTTAAGAGGTGATCCCAGGAATCACATATAGGGGACGGGAAAATGAGACAGGAAGATAGAAAGGCTAAGATAGGGCACATTAATTAGCAGATTACTGCAGTGGGAGATGGGGGCTCAGTTGTGTTGAGCACTCTCTGAGAAATTGTGTGGAGGGCATCTCATAATTGTTCTACTTCAGGCTGGGAAGCTAGGGCATTAATTCACCATTCTCCCTTTCGCTATTGTTGGGAGTTGTTTCTGGGGAATTAACTCTCCTGCCTTTTGAGTTGCTCCTGTGTGTGGTTCAGCAAACTCCTATGATGCTGCAGAGAGCCATCAGACAGAGAGGCAGGTGCTTGGGTGGGGAGCTGCTATCATGGTAGAAACTATTTACCACAGCTGCAGATGAACTCAGAGCTGGGCCTAGGGGATATTGGGTAAGGCGCCAACAGTGCCCGCTTCACTTGGCTACTACATCTCCTGTACAACCAGAACTTTGTAACTTAGAAAATGTGCATGAGCTCATAAAGCTTATTACATCAGGAAAGAAAGTCCTACTATAATTGCACTAGCACTCTCTGTAATAAAGTTACTCAATTTAGCAGTACAAAACTCTCATCAATATTTTTTACTCTAGTACACAGTATCATGCAACTATGCAATTGTATTTGAAAAGTTTATTCCTTCTTTGCTTTTATTCAGGGTACTAAAGCACAATTCTTCACAATGAACCCTTTCCATTATACCTCCAGACCACTGTAGAGGATCCATATCCAACACCAACAATCTGTCCAACTAAGACAGTTTAGATAATTTACCTAAGACAGTTTAGATAATTCTGTACAATATTCCAGGTATAAGCTTTTGAGGGCATATCAACTGACTCATTCTGAACTTTGTCTTATCACTTTCTGTTATGCTGTTATTAATGCTCCTTTACCACAATACAAACAAGTATCTCCCAGGTCTCTATTCCTAGCCTCTGTTTTAAATGGACTGAGGTAGACTTTCTAGTGTACTTGCTGTTCATTTCAGAACTGACATTCTCAAGAATGTCATGCATTCCCATGTGATCCATTAAATGGAATCCACTGAGAGGGGTGGCTAGTGATTTAAAATTCTAAATCTAATGAACAACATCTTCATGAATTTAGAGTTTTGGGAGTAACTACTGTAAACTGGCAATAGCAGTGGGCTACCTCACTGGTGGTAAGGCCCACCCTACTCACTAGATTTCATGCCAGGGCTTGAAGCAGCCTCTACCACACTCTACAAGTGACAATTTCTCCAGGTATCTTTTCCCCACCCTCATCCTCCATCAGTCTCATCACATTACTGCTGTCATTTTCTTTTTTTTTTTTTTTTAATTTTTTTTTAACGTTTATTTATTTTTGAGACAGAGAGAGACAGAGCATGAACGGGGGAGGGTCAGAGAGAGGGAGACACAGAATCTGAAACAGGCTCCGGGCTCTGAGCTGTCAGCACAGGGGCCCGATGTGGGGCTCGAACTCACGGACCGCGAGATCGTGACCTGAGCCGAAGTCGGCGCTCAACCGACTGAGCCACCCAGGCGCCCCACTGCTGTCATTTTCAACAAGACTGTGGCTTAGAGTTCCAGAACCACCCTCCCTTATGGTATGCAAACCTCAGCAGCTTTCTCAGGCCTCTTCCCACTGCCTCATTGCTGGTGGCAGCTTTGGAACTGATAAAAACCAAGTTTTCAAATCTTGCTTTTAACCAGAAGCATCCTTACCCAGAGCAGTGTTTGATGACTCCCAGAGAACTTTTCTGTCTCCTGGCTTTGGTTCCTACCTGGCATATCCATTTCTTACAGGCTGTCTGTTGAGATGCTACAGCCTGGGGCACCCATCAACCAGCAAGACTTTCAGTCCAGTTGGACATGTTCCACCTATCCTGTGCATGACTCCAGAATGCTACCAAGGCAAGGATTTATACCAGGTATTGGCATCCTAAGGTGTCAAAATGCTCTTCCATTAAAATTTTCATCTGAGGCCACTGATAACATTGAAATCTGTCTCATTCCCAAAGGTTTATTCACGGTGGGTCCTATCTACTCAAGATATTTCTTCAAGTGCTAATTTGGCATTATGACCCAGACAATTTTCTCTGACAGAGAATAAGAACAAATATAGCCAGTTAAAATTTATTTACAATTGACTTGTTATTCCATAAAATATGGCCTATAGTGATGTTCATAATTACATCTGTGACTGGGCCTTAATAGTTAACATGGAGTACACCAGTCCTACTCACAGACTTAAAAAGATATATGAGAAACTTTGCTATATTTCTCTCATACACCATTCTAGAAAATTGCCTGAGGATG